AAACCCACAGCTTCCCCCTTGATGCATGTCATCCCATCAAATAGAACCCAATACTGCATGTTTGATGTGCACTGAGTGATCAACCCACAGCTTCCCCCTTGATGCATGGCAAGACAGTTACAAACACAAGTTTTCATCAGAACAGGTCACTTGAAATCTTTAAAGCCTTTGTACCTGTACTTTAATGCCATCTTCTTTATCATCCTGATACCACTCTTCGTCTTCTGAGCTACTGTCATCCAAAAAATCTTCAAATTCATATAGATCATTGACATGCACATGCGACACGCGACTGCTCTCATTCTCCTCAGTCTTTTCTTCATCACTTTCTCCATCACTATAGCAAACAAAGTGAGCAGTGAGTGTCATTGACTATTTGCTTGCTATTACTACACAATTTTCATCACTTTTCAAAAAATTATTTATGGTGTCAATTTCATCAAATCATTCTGAGAGCCATCAACTTGCCATTTGTAAACCAATACAACTTGCAATTGTAAACATTATCCGCTGATGAAACACAGCAAGTATCAAGCAGTACGTCAGTCATTACAGTAGAGGATGCATTGTGCAAATGAGTTCATATCTCATTGACCCCTATATTTGACCTTTATGTTGTATTGTATTCACTACCTGAGCCATGGTGTGATGCCTGCACCTATAATTGTGTGTAATAAATCAATCCTGTGTAATCCTCTACCTGGTCTAACCATCCTTGATTCTACAATTACGAGTTATTGAGGATAGTGTTTCATGATAATCTGTCTCACCAACACTGTATAATATTCATCATATTCAAAACAATGCAAGTAGGATGATCCTATTTTTTCAATGTTCCTTACAAAACAACAGTTTTGTTTGTAAAATAAAAAACATTTTTTTCAAATGTACCAACAAAATCAAATTAAATTATTTGGAACTAGCATTTATCCATCCACTATTTACAGTGGTTTTTCTATACTTAAAAATTATTCCATTACAAAAATACAATAAGTGAAATACAAACCTTTCATGGTAATCTCTAGGAAACATAATTCCACATCCCATTACATCACCTTTGTAACACCTTGGTCCAAATGGATCTCCCACCCCACTGCCTTTAAATAATTTACCATCATCTACACACAAATGAATAAGGGTTATTAGACATGGTGGTGTATTGAATAACTTGAGTTATTCTTAATGTTCATTGAATAATTCATATTAGAAACAAATATTATATCAAATTCTTCAATATACATGTTGCTTTGAGTTAAGAACTATGCTAATCTTATAAATTAATTAGTTTGAAAGTTCTTACATAAGCTATCTTAGGGGAGAGTAGGAAATCAAACGGGTGATGCACAAAGTTCTAATGAAAAATTAAACCAATTTAGCTGAGCCAAAAGCTAGAAAACTAGTCTATAATAGTTGACATTATTTTATTTGCCTGAGCCTTGGAATAAAATCACAAAATGATCCAGAAAGACGTAGAGAACATAATATAAAATATGATCACATTATTTTGTGAATATATATCATGCATGGTCTCAGAAAATGTTTATAAAGATTAATGTTTCGCATAGACCAAATATAATCACGCACAAGTATAAA